TCCAGCCACCCCCCATGACTTCAAATGGTTTACCCCTAACAATGTTAACTACATTAACTCATATCATATATAATATTTTAATTAATCTGTTATTTTAATTTTTTGATTATCCTTTTTACTTTTTTTTTATTTCACTTGACTATGTTCATCTTCTATAGAAAGAATAATGTCAATAAAGTTATCTTATCTTATCTTATATACAGGACAAAAAATTGAAAATGAATGAAGAAGAACAATTTTGATTAATTATGACAAGCTTTGCAGGAATAGAAACTGCACAATTCATACATACAAGTATGAACTTAAGAGATGAAACATACAGCAACTCCATCAAATTAGTCTGCAGGTAGTTTTAATGCAATGGCATATTTAGTAGCTTAGTAGTTTTATTCTTATACTTATTTCCATGTGTTTTTCTTCCATTCTTAGTTACATTTATTCAATGTTTTATTCGTGATTTTGGTGGAGTGAACTGTATACTTCAGTTTTGCTTTGTCCTAAACAATATCATTAGCTTATGTTTTTTCTTCGTTCTATAATTATATGTATTTAATGTGCTATTTGTGATATTAGTTGTGTGAAGTATTATTTCTGTTCTTGTTTTACAACCATAACATTACTCTCTGTAGTAGATTTTCGTGTTGAATAAAATTATATCGTAATGAGACTAGCTATAATGAATGAATGAACTTTATTGTTCCCGTGTAAAAAAAGAGTAGGTTACATAGGGTGTTTGCAAGAATAAAGAATTTTTGTTAACAAGACAATATTTTGAAAATAACGTGAATTAATGAGACGGGTAATCAGGGTTAGGGTATCTCAATCAAGTTTGGGGTTTACCTTCTCAGCTGCATCAAGATTTCCTAATGCTTGGTGAACCATTCCAATGTTGAAGAATACTTTGGCCGACGGGTCCGGAATTCCCCAGAACTTTTGCAATGCAGTATCCAAGTCGTTAGAATCGTATGCCGTCACGCCTTCATCCCACAGCACCAAGGAGTTGATCACTACATTTGAACTTTCGGCCATGATATATTCCACGTTTTGTGTTTCTTGGACGCACTTTTCTTCAGTGTTTGTGAATGCTGCACATTTTAAGATGACCTATCCCCCTATAACGCATAACGACGACACTGCCCAAAGACAAAGTTCACCAGGATGGTCGTGCAGCCTGTATTTTTGGGCATGGTTTGGGTGACTTCGGGGTCAAATAAGTGCGCCCTCAACGTGGCTCCGAATTGATTTTGCAAATCCCCGCCCAAAATCCGACGCAAGAACGTTGTGTTCAGCAAATCGAAAGTGTAACAGTATTATGGCGTATAATAAAAAATACATATAATCATATTGAAAGTAAAGTATCATTTGGCGATATTGAAACAGATTATTTTACACAGAATGAGGGTTTAAAACAAGGATGTGTTTTAGCCCCAACGTTATTCTCAATTTATATGAATCAATTCAAAAAACTGTTAGATGATTCACTACTTGGTGTTAAATTGGATGAAATTTGTATAAATGGATTGTTTTTTGCTGATGATGTGGTGCTTATTGCACCAAATGAGGTCCAACTCAAATCCATGTTAAATGTCACAAATCATTTCTGCAAGCTATGGAAGATGACAATTAATGAGGAAAAGTCAAACGTGTTGATCATTAACAAGAAAGTTAACAAAAACAAAGATTGGCAGATTGGGAACTCAAAGATAAAAGAAGCGTCTGAGTATAAATATTTGGGTTATTGGATTACACGTAACTTGTCAGATCATACACAATGTACAAAAATGTCTGAAAAGTTTAACAAGTTACATTGTGTATTCCCCATTATGAAATCAATTCTTGGTAACCATGGCAATGTAAATAGAGTAGATTATGGTATATCCCTGTGGAACCACATTATTAGACCTGCCTTAGAGTATGCCTGTGAGTTACTAATATTTAGTTCAACAGATATGGAAAAATTAGAAAGAATGCAACGT